AACTTGTGAATAACAGTGCAGATTTAATAAAGAACAGTTTAAAACAATTTTTTTTTAATGCTTACATATTTTTTTCAAGTTCTATGTTTGTTTGGTGCACCATTTCAACTATGGAGGGAATTTTGTTCTAATGTTGTTACAAGTAAAGAACGCATTTTGAAAATGAGGGGAAAAAATGCATTCCAAAAAATTTTACATCAACATTAAAAACTTTTTCATCAATAAAGTTTTCGTAATAATTTAGCTGCTTTCTCAGTTTTACATTTTTTAGATAATTTTTTGTAATTTTTTTATTTAATTTTTAAAATTTCTTTTTCATTTTTTACAGATGTTATACTTTAAAATTCAAAATTTTTCTTTCTTTTTTTCCAGCTTGAGTTTTACTAATTGCATCCTTTCCAACTTGTGTTCTACAGATCATATTCTCTTCTCTCCAAGCCCAGTTGCTCTTGGTGTGCAAATTAACAATAAACTTTCCTTTTACAAAATGTTTTCTTTGCTTGAAACAATAATGGAACAAAGTTCACTCCATACTATGAAGAAGTGTTTAAAAATTACACACATTTCTTGACATAATTCTTAAATCTGGCTCATATAAAAATTAAAACTGTATAAAAGATTTTTTCTTCAAATTTCAGTTTTTATTTTTTGTTTTAGTTTGTGTTGGTTTAAAGGTTAGACATTTGATCTTTAGTGGGAAATGATGTGGTTCCAGTCTGAGCACTCACTCTGTTTTTACACTCCTTTTACTTTATATTTGTTTATGTTTTAAATTAAAGATTTTATTATTTGATGATGGTTAGGGTTCATGTCATTCACATTGTAATCACTAGAGGGCGCTTTCATATCAGAGCACAGGGATCCTTAAACAGAACAGACTAGAAAAATAAAATAAAGTCATAATATGTGGTGGAAAATACATTCTGTATTACAGGGAGATGATCTGTGTTCTTGGTTAGAATTTTTTTTTTATAGACAAAGAGAATGAATAGAATTATTTATTGAGAATAATGTTTGACACTTTAAGAAAGTTCAAAATAAAAATGTCAATTTGTTCTTTATAATTTGAAGCCGTGTCTTCACAAGTTTTAATTGAAATAAAATGTATTTTTATAGAGAATTTAATGTGTCTTTTTGCATTTTCAATTTTGTAAATTCCACTAATATAGTGCACCAGTAAATTAAGATTATAATAAATAATTTTTACATAAAACTAAGAATTGATTTTTTTCTTCCCCATTAATATAACATGTCGACACCCACAGGCTGATTTAGGGATTAGAATAGTTTTATTCACTGAGACTTTAAGTTTTGTCTTGATATAAAAAAAAACGTTTTTTTAGACTGTTTGTTAATGATTTACTTTTTTAGAAAATGCAACAAGCATCACTAGTCTCCCCTACTTCTTTTCCGTAGGTACGCTCCATATACGGTGCATAGGTTATCTGAGGGGATAAATGCAGGCTTAGAGATATTAGTTAAAGCTACTGGTAAAATAAAGGTTACTGTTAACTTGTTACTGGAGACTGGGGACACACCAGAGAAAAAACAGCACAGCTGTTTTCTAATATATTGGAAAAATGTAATTGACCAATGAAATGATTTCTTATTGTCAGTTTTGGTGGTTTAGCTCCAATAAAGACAAATGCCCTCTATTTAATCAGCTTGAAATGTTGGAACATGTTAGTTTATTGCATGAACATTTGGTTTGTCTGATCTAAACCGTCTCTGAGTAACAGTGTCAAATAACAAAGGAGTTGCAATGTTTGAGGTCTGCAACAGTGATCAGTGTTCAGAGCTGGGTAGTAACTAACAGAGCTAAGTAGTAACTAGCAGAGCTAGGTAATCCAGGTCCAGATAGTAAAAACCTTCCAACTATTCACTCATCCAGCTCTGCAGCACAAAGTTGCAGCTGATCAACAGATTATATGAACAATAGGAAGGAAAACATGGCAGGGTTTTATTTTCTGGACCCTGATTAACAACCTCTGGTAACTAGTTACAATAACTTGTTTAAAAGAAACATACTTTTATGAGTAGTTTTACAGCATTTTTTTTTTATTTTGAGTAAAAACAGGATTGTGTTGTGAATTTGGCGCTATATAAATAAACTGAATTGAAATTGAATTGATAAACTATCACTACTCGTGAGTAAAATTCCTGGATGCTCCGTGGATTGAGAATAACGGAGCTTCATGAAACAAGCTTGTTTTAAACACGTAAATGTTTTGTTCTTGAGGTTTATTTTCCAACTGCTGCAAATGAACCTATTCTAACATAATGTAACTAATGAATTTTTACATTATATAATAAAAAAAGTATTTTTGAATAGTTCTTATTCCATCTGTTTTTTTTTTTTTATCTTAATCTTTTAATCTTTATTTAATTATTTTTTTTCAACTTTACATCATTTCATAAAACAATAAACCAGCTGTTGTGATCATGGGTAGCAAGTAGATCCGTCACTCAGTACCTGAGTTGCCTTTCTATCAAATACTTTTTTACTCCTATTTGAATATTTTTTAAAGGCTACTTCATATTTTTACTGTAGTAAATATATGATGGGGTATTGCTGTTCTTATTTAATTGGTTGTTTTATCTACTCTACCTGTTTCAATAGGCTACTTGCAAAAGATCATTACATGAAAAAATAAGGGGTCTTGTTGGTGGATATTCTTGTTTAGACAGCATAAGGGAAGCATGACCTTAAGCAGACCATCCATCCATCCATCCATCCATCCATCCATCCATCCATCCATCCATCCATCCATCCATCCATCCATCCATCCATCCATCCATCC